TCCATCGGAATATTTGAAGCCATATAGCAAGGTACTAACAACTGGCACATGTGTGGTCACAGTACCTTAGGTTGAAACTAGGTTGACACTATGTACAGTGAACAAGGTCCTGTGATATAACACAGGTGCAACAACTAGTTATTTCTTCTTAGCACTTCGGAGGCACAACCAGTTAGGTTTGACACAGTTAAAAGCTTTGGTTGGTAACAGAGTAGTGGGGAACCATCCTTTGGACAGTAGACAAACTGACAAAACTTGCTTGAAAAAACCCCAACCTGACCCGGATATTGTACAAGAACTTCCAGCAATGATGATTTCTGAAAGCTCTTGAAGAATCTCCAGGAAAAATTGACGAGACTTAATATATCACACACGTACATGACGAGGACAATCTGACAATATCATCAGATCATAAACAGTCCTCAAACAGTCACTCGATCAGCCAGACAAATAATGTACAGACATTTGGACACCGAGTCCGACATGGAAGCACCTGTTACAGGCGGGGCAGTGGTGGTATTGTCACTGTTTTGAACAATTGCTCTGTGGTTTTGATGAAATACGTAATGGTATGAGCACAGCTTATCAGAAATACCATCCACTGTTAAGATGTAAACACTAAGACTGAAATAGGATTAAGCTTGTTAATTCCTAATTACAAACCCACTTCTATCCACTGCTGGTAATAGGGGGGAAATGATTCATCAAATTCTGTGATCATGTGGGAAAACACTTATCACTTTCATCATTTTCACTGGTTGTCAATAACAATATTCCAGAGCGTGTATTTGTATACAAGTATGGTGCATTGTTCAAGGCAAGGATATCATGATGATTGTGATGTTAAAGGATCTTGGAAGGACCATCAGAATCAAACACAATCATACTGTGACAACATACTTCAGTTGTAGCAGTAGGGCAACATTTCTACTCTTGTGTAAAATCTCAAAACATTTGCAATTGTTCAGTCAAAATCAACTCAACTGTTTATGTGGCACAAACATCAGTAAACTCAGTTATAGCACAAGGGGCAAAGCTGTAGCAGACATTATACTTTTCAAATATACCTGAAGTATGAAATCCTATCTGTGTTCTAACATGGAGTTGGTGCATTGGATGAACATGCAGCTCAAGGTTCCCAGAGAATAGCTTTAGTTTATTATCATCTGGGATATCAGAATTATGCCTTGGGCCAGTACACCTTAATTTCGGGATCAATTAGTACTAATCGTCGCCTTTCCCTTAACATTCTGTTTGTAGGGTGGGCAGATCTATTACCAACATTCAACAAGGTCCCAGCGTAACAGCTGATATTTAATACTTTCAGGTGGGACTGACTGCAAAACTAAAGAACAGATCCAGTGTAGTAAAGATTCTGGCTGCACTGACTGTCTAACTGTGGGCAGCCCTAAACACAGAATGTTATGAATGTATATAATAGCACAGATGAGGAAGATATAGAGGGAAGAGCAGGCCATTATGTTCATTCTAGAAACATGAGAAAGGCAGTATCTGCAGAAAGAGGTAGGTTGATGGCAACTTGCACATGTGGTAATACAAAGCTACATGTTCCACTCTCTCAAGTCAACAGTAACCAACATACTGTTAGGTTTAGCATGTAAATATGTGATGGTAAACATGACCCTTCTGATAATATTTCAATCTGGGACATACATATACATTTATTAGATTGTTCACAAGGATCTGTTTACTTTCCTTAGTTTCCTATACGCAAGAAGCAACTCAAAGTCATGACAGATTCTTCGTTTACCCACCAGTGTAGTATATCTCCATTCTGATACGATGAACACTACATTAGCATTCTTAACCCTTATTTTCAGTTCAGCTTGAATCAAACAAGTTACGCATTTTACTTGATGAAACAGGAAGCAAAACTTCTCGTTCTTTATGTAATGTCACAAATGAAACCTGAACATCATTCACTCCCTTGTCTTCGTGATCAGAAACAAACATCACATACAATCTTTTGATTTGATTAACACACGTAAATATACCAAAAGCTTGCTTGAGTGAGACTAAAATATTTCAGGTAGATCTCTCAAGTCAAGTCAAGTCAAGTTCAACAGAGACTGTTTGTTTATCTAAGCTTATTGGTGAGAGAAATCATGTAGCAAGTAGTTACCGGTACATGATATGTAGGTAACTAAACAACACTGATGTCGGTATGTTTGTTGGTTAATGCCACACTCGGCAATATTACAGCTACCGGTATATGGCAGTGGTCTGTAAAGAATCAAGTGTGGATCAGACAATCCAGTGATCAACAGCATGAACATCAATCTATGAAATTGCAATACGATGATGACATGTGTCAACCAAGTCAGCGAGTCTTTACCACCTGATCCTGTTAGTCACCTCTTCTGACAAGCATTGATGTTGGAGCTGTCTAGTGTAAACAGAATGGAGATATGACACACTGGACTACTAGGGATCCTGCCATGTTCTGTCACTGAATTATAATAATGTAATGTTTCATAGTATCTCTATCAAGAGGAACACCTGGTGTAAGCATGTCCACACAAATATTCTGGGACTTAATCATTTCTGAATACAACATTAAACACTCAAACAAGAAGAGAAATCACACATCAAGGCATGTAATCCACAAAAGGGATATTGTCATGTTATCTGCGGAAATATTAACAACAGTACATACAGCACGTACATCTTTGGTTCATGTTCAGTTGTTCAAGTGATCCTTCTCTCGCTGACTAATGCTGGCAGCACCATCAGGAAGGGATGTTATCACCATAGCAAGAAATAAAACCTGTGGTTACCTCAGTCTCACAAGTAGGAAAGAATTCCTTTTGATTCCAGTAACTATGGTAACCTGCTGTCAAAATAAGGTTTGGAAAATATTTCCAAATCGAACATTTTGGAATTAGGCAGCTTTTGTGTTCCTTAACACATTGCAAAGTTCATATAGACATGCCATTAATAATAGTCCAATAAGGAATTTGAAATGGAACAGCAAGGATGTAGGCCTGCAATGTCTCTTGGAATGACAATCTGTTTGAGACCTTCGGAAACCCTCAACAGTATATTCTAAACCTAGACCTAACACCAACCTCTGAAACATCAAGAAACAATGATGTAGAGAGAACATCATTTTGGCAAAAAATGATACATGACAAAAATATGTTTTTGATGTCTCCAGAAAATATGTGATGGAATAGATTGATGATTGAATGAGATGGAAGGAATGACTTTTTGAGATGCTACGTCTGTGCAGTACCTCGATTACCATGACCCCCAACATTATGCTGGTCAAATCATGCATGGCAACCATCACAATCTACATGATTAATACTCAGTTGAAAAATATGCCCTCATCGTGTTACGTAGTTGTGTTTCACTGATGATGGCAGCACCTGAGAACAAAGACATTTGAACATGTTTACAGTTGGTGAATCATTCTCCACATCAGATAATGTTGCAGGCTGAAGTGTTAGCCTGGAAAACACCAATCGGAATTACCTCCCTTGAAAAGTGATATCAGTTCTGGACAGCTGACAATCTGGCTTGTGTTCTTAGTGGTCAGCCTGTAAAGCTACACAATAAATTATCTCCCTTGAATTGACATCAGTACTGGAAATATAGGTGGTCTCACATACAACAAGAAAATCAAAGAAAAGACCTGACTTTCTGCAGCTGTCTCTAAAACCTCACCCTCTGTACAACATTATATTGTGCACAATACACCCAATCACATGACAAGGCTCTCTTAGGTATTTAAAATACATTTGGAATTTCCTGGAAAAAAGAACAATGCGATGTACAGCCCTATTTCATACACCGATCTCGTCAGATCCTGAACCCTGTGATTATCATCAACACACCTACAAGACAATTATATATAGCTTAAACTCTTCTTTCACCAGAATACAATACTGATCAAATCTTCTCACCGTCACTAGCTGGATTTCATACTGTATCTATCCACATGCTTCCTGTCAAAACATGAAGGTCAAGGTGTCCTGTAAGAAGTTATCCTGTAGAAGAGTCTCAAGATTTATATTCCATCACTGTTATGCAAACAATTTTCTCCAAATAGTATTCTTGTCTGTACCGTGTGATGAACTGACAAAACAGAGCTCTTTAACATGCAGCTGCTGTTTGGAATGTGTAAATCTATTCTCACAAGTAATGTTAATTTTCTTTTTGAACATCATTAAATAACATTGCAACTTTGGTCATCTCAAGATTTGATTTTCCATGCATTCATGGCAGATGACAAGGTTGACCATGATTACAACTGGTGATATATATGTGAATCATTCTATTTACCAACTACTTATCTTCAAAACCTTTACTACAGTCAACAAATGGGTACAGACCTATTGACATGGGATACCTTCATATCAATAGGCACCAGACAGCATACTAATTTTAGTTATTATGCAACATTCTGTCCTCACGAATATCAAGTGAAATGGGTTAGGTTTATGACTTGACTAAAGTGATTATCAAGGGTTTTGTTTTTGCAAAGTTGGTGTTGCTTTTGGCATGTTTGGCACTGTGAAGATTTGATCAGTTGTCTGACAATGCCATATTATCTAGTCTAGTAGAAACAATAAACACTGAGAACTCCTTACACATTCACAAGTACACAGCCATATCTGGTGTGGACAGCCACTCCCATTGTGAGACATGCCACATTCACAATGCAAATCAAGCTATTTTGGAGGACATACAATCAATGACTGTCCTGACAATCATTATGGCCCTTCTGTGATGTACAATCCATGCCTGTCTTGACAATCAAGATGTTCCTTCTGTGATGTACAATCCATGCCTGTCTTGACAATCATGATGGCCCTTCTGTGATGTACAATCCATGCCTGTCTTGACAATCATGATGGTCCTTCTGTGATGTACATACATGCCTGTCTTGACAATCAAGATGTTTCTTCTGTGATGTACAATCCATGCCTGTCTTGACAATCATGATGGCCCTTCTGTCATGTACAGTCCATGCCTGTCTTGACAATCATGATGGTCCTTCTGTGAAGTACAATCCACACCCATAATGGCCAGCCTGTGAAGTACAATCCATGACTTCCTTGACAACCACAATGGCCCTTTTGTGAAGTACAATCCATGACTTTCTTGACAACCACAATGGCCCTTTTGTGAAGTACAATCAACACCCATAATGGCCCTTCTGTGAAGTACAATCCATTTCTGGTTTTGAAGTGAAACCCATGATTTATGGTGACTTGGATTTCACGGCATTTTTGTAATGCACAAACCCTGACTTGTCCTGATTAACAATCCCTCACTTTGTCCTCCTCCTTTGTTTGAGCACCAGTGGTTGTGTTCATCTGAGTAGCAATAGCCTACCAGTTAAACTCTAGCAGTCTCATTGGGAATCCCTACAACCTTGGAAACATCTGCTTCTTGCTGCAGATAAACAACAATCCAGTACAATAAAGCCATGTCTGTAACAGAATATACTGTGATCTTGGGTTTCAGATGTACATAAAGAGCTTTTAGGTACAGATACACATCAAGCTTGTCCAACAGGATATTGTCCCTCCAACACAGTCAGTGAAACATCCAACAGTGGCAGCAGTAGCATGGAGTGCATGTTGGTCTACTGGCCACCTCCTACACATGAACATCAGTGCATCAGCAAAACTGCACTTGGGCCTGTACTATGCTGACTGAACAACCTTGATTACATTCTTAAGTTTCTCAATAGTCAATTGTGTTTCACTTGTCTTTGCTAATAAGTGCTGATTTTTTTCCACTTGTTCCTGGAAATAAATAAAAATAAGACATTAAATTTGGAATATTTCAAATGCAGTCTGAGGGGGAAACCTGCCACCACAATGATTAGACAAAGAGGGGTGAATGAGTGAGTGAGTGAGTGTGGTCTTAAGCCGCTTTTAGCAATATTCCAGTGGGGAACACTAGAAATGGGCTTCACACATTGTACCCATGTGGGGAATCAAACCAGGAACACAAAGAGGAAGCTTCTGAGGAATTACTGACCAGAATGTTTGACAGACAGGCTTACAAGCCATGACTGCATAAAAGATTATGGTTGTTACTGCTGCAGTGGAATAACAGTAAGTGGTAACCTTGGAATTATCACCATGCGTTCTACTTTACATAAAAACACACAATCATTGAACCCTAGCTTGCCAACTGAAACTTTTGTCTCCAGATCTCTTGCACAATGAAGGAAAGTGCCCTTAATATACTGAAAATCGTATGGTAATTACGTAATTGAAAATTTTAACTATAAATTGTATATTTATATACTTATCCTATCTCACGACTTGCACCTCTCTCTCTTCATTCGACCATGAGTGGAAACGAATTAAAACTTTGCTCAAGACCTACCTTGCCCCTCTCCCCGTGCTGTGCATGCCTTCCTGTCTCAGTCGTGCTCACTAGTCCATGACAGCACGAGGCATGCGCAGTCCTCACCCACGTGATCACCTCACATACTCATTCTCGATCTTGGAGCCATAAAGGACAAAACCGGAGCGGTGGTAATCTATGTAGTGGGGAGGTAGGGAGGGACTTTATCGCGTGAGATAGGATAAGTATATAAATATACAATTTATAGTTAAAATTTTCAAATTTTTAAACTTATCCTATCTCTCGACTTGCACTTATCCCACGGTAGGAAGGTGGGTCATAGATTACCGAATTCAAGCGATAACAGCTAGTGTTACGCCCAAACAACCGTGGGAAGCAACTGCAAGGTGGGGCAATAACTACCAAGTTACTACGTCTTGAGGGTTAGGTCGAACCCATTGACTTATTAAGCACAATTGCTCCCAGGGACCGGGATTCCCGAGCAATGTGGTGTTCAGTCACTACCTTCACAAAGTGAAAGGGCGAGCTTAACGAGTGTAATCAGTCGCATCGCCACGATTTCCAAGGTACCCCGTAATAAAAGTCAAGCGACTAGTATCGGGCCAGCCCTGCTTGAAACAACCCCCACAGACACCGTCCCGAGGAGGGTGAAAGAGAAATGTGAATCGGTAAAACTCACAATTTTTAGCGTTCAGTACCACAACATCATCTTATGACTTCCATTACTTACCACAATAAGATCACATAGATGTGTATAGGCGCAGGAGCATGAACGCTCACGGTGTAACACTTCGAAGGACTCACTTCACTGACTTAATTACTCCGTGGAGCAGAGGGACAGTAAGTGAGGTGGCGACTCTCTGTAGTCTCAAACAAATGAGAGGAAAAATCTAAATCGAGGAAGAAATAAAGGCGTAAATCAGAAAAAAGTTTTCAGATTTATTCAGATTGTACACAAGCAGAAACGATCGCGACTTGGGATCAACTGCACAGTGGGATCCATATAGCATCGGAGCACAAGAAAGTTCATTATCTGCGATGTTGTGCGCTGATAACTGCTGGGCAAGGGCGAGTGGTCCAAACTGATGAAGGCCTTGAATATCCGTCACCGACACATCTCTGAGGTAATGAGGCGAAAATACCGTGTCAGATCGCCAAAAACACCCCTCCATTATGGCAGTTAACGAGCAGTTGCTATGCAGCGCCATAGTAGAAGCCAAAGCCCTGGTTTCATGAGGGTTGACTGCCGTCAGAGTGGTGGCAAACCGGCAAAGTGTAGGCTCATAGTATTGTTGCTCGTAGCCAATATGAGAGTGTTGTCGCGAGAAACTTCCGCCTTGGAAGCCGTGAGAACAAGGGTATAAATAGCCTCTTCACGCAGACGGCGGCGCTCTTGCGATGCTTTAAGGTAAATCACGAAGTGCTCTGACTGGACAAAGAGACAGATCTTCAACATCTGCTGGACCCAATATGGTAGACAAAGGCGGGATTGTAAAGAGCGATCAGGTTGACCCGGCAACTGTTTTTGCAATAAAATCCCAGCGCAAATCCCAACAATACCTTGCCATGTCTACTCTGTTCAAAAACGGACCACGGTTGATATCTAGAGCATGCAGTTCTGATATACGTGCGCTGTGGCCAAAAGGCAATAAGAAAAAGGTCTTGAATGAAACTTGTTCAAACTCCTTGTCCTGTAAGGGTTCATAATGCTCGGACACTAAGTGGTGCAGGACCACGGATAAGTCCCAAGCTGGTGGGCCGAAATTTCCTGGATTGGTCGGCTAGCTTAAAAGAGCGAAGTAAATGTACTGCAGTTCCGGTACCGTGAAACCTTCGTACCAGAAGTCGTAAGCTAGGACCGAATTAAGAGCCGCCAAGTAGGTGGCTAAAGTGGAACCCTTGAGTTTCCTTGTAGCCCGCAAATGTTGTAAATATTCCGCAACAACCTGGGGCGAAGCAGTAGTAGGGGAAGCGATCCCTCTGACCCGACAATAACATTCAAATTTCTTCCACTTATCGTCATACAAAGAGCGGGTAGACGTCACGATGAGCTGCAGTGATAGCTGAGGCCACTCTGTGAGAATAACCTTTGGCTATTAGTGATTTCTGCAAATGTGCCATACGTGAAGATTGAGCGTCTGTGGTGACTCGTGATACATGCCCGAGTCTTGGATGAACTAATAGGTCGTCCGCATGCGGGAAGAGGAATGCTGCTTCGACTGACTAGACTTTTTAGGCCGACGAACCAACTTCTGGCTGGCCAAAATGGCTACCAAAAGTAGTTGTACTTTGTTGGTTAACAGAATTTTCTGAATGACCTTGTGAAGTAGAGCCGGAGGTGGAAACGCGCATAAGCGTTGAGGCCTTCCCAAGGAATGGCCAGGGCCGCGTGATCCCAAGCTAGTGGATCTGGAATTGGAGATCTGAATCTCGGCAGTTGGGAGTTGAACCCGGTGGCAAACAGATCGACACTTTCGGTTAGAGATCAGGTAAATTATCGTCCGAAAAATCTTGGGCAGGAGTTGCCACTCTGTGGGCTGACGGGCGACTGGACGTGACACAGCGTCGGCAATCCGCTTTTTGTTCGAGGAATGTGCCTGGCTCTTGCGGCGATGTTGAGAGAATCTATCAGAAGATAGAAAGCGAAGCGTCCACTGTAGGAGTGCTGCTGAGCAGTCGACCCTAGGTGATTGATGTACCACACTACCGTCGAGTTGGCGGACTGTATCAGCAGGTGAGACATCTTGAGTAGAGCCGCCCAGTGCTGAATCGCCAGTAATACTGCCTTGAACTCCAGAATGTTTATGTGGAGTGACTTGTCTTCGGGCGACCACTGCCCTGCCACTTGATGCTGAAGGAAGTGAAACCAACCTTCTAGAGAGGCGTCCACAAACAACTGATGGGTTGGACTGAATGGCACCAAAGAGGCGCCGGCGCCAAACATTCTATGCGTTGAGCCACCAGCGTAGAATTGGGCGAGTAGTTCCCTGGGTAACGAATCAACACCTGAGGGTTGTTGGTTTGAAGATGAGAGCGCAGAAATAACTGAAGTGAAGCGAAGCTGCAGTTGACCTCTGTAAGTCAGAGCCTGAGCTGGCGTTAAGGCGTAGCAACTCCTGCCACTGGCGTAGAGTTCTGGGGTGATCAAGGCTAAGCGGAACCAGGCGCTGAATTTTGGTCCACCTGTCCTGGGGAACAAACAACTTGGCTTGTTCTGTGTCAAGATTGCTCCTATGAACTGAAGTCTGCGAAGTGGGGTGTTAACTCCGACTTCTGTAATTGAGGAGCCACCCTAACTGTTTGAGCAGCCTGATGGTGAACTCCGATGGATTTGAAGAGCGTTTGGATCCTGTTGTGCCTGAATACAATCGTCGATATAGCTTTTCGAAAGTCACTCCCGAGAATGTAGGAAACTGCTGATGGGTTTGGTCACCGAGTAAAAGCCCGCGGGGCATTAGAGATTCCAAATGGAAGGGCGTTCCATTGGTAGTGATGGCCCCGAAGGTGAACCTGAGATATTTCCGATGATCTGGGTGAATCGGAATGTGCAGGTATCGTCTTGAAGATCTAGGGATGAGGAAATCCCTTTCTTCAGAATTGAAAATGAGAAGACTGACCGATACCATCGCGAAAATGAGGTGGTTGTTGCAGGAATCGGCGTTGAATGTCTTCATATTGAAGATGAGGCGCAACTTGCTGGAGTTTTTCTTTGGCACCAGAAAATCGGGAGTAAAATCCTGGAGTTATGCACACCTGATCTAGGTGTTCTATTGCATGTTTCTCCAGTAGAGTTTGGATTGTAGTCGAAAGGACTGCAGCCGATCCAGAGGATATATTTGCTGCAAGGGTTGAGTGGTGAGGGTGGATCCCGACCACAGGCAGTCGATAGCCGTGAATGAGAGTCATTGTGACAAAAGGATCTCCCAGAACCTCCCAGTTGGGAACAAACAGACCTAACCTCCCTCCTACAGGGGAATCGAACACTGGAACCACGGATCCGGCAGAACCAATCGAAGCTCTGACTTCCGTGAGTCACTGTTTGGACTGTCTATGTCCAGTTCCGTCAATGAATTCGATAGGGGAGGCGGCGTGATCGCGGAACCGCGAAATGGCCTCCTGCCTCTGCCGCGCTTGAGAAGGCGCCGTGCCTTTCATACAGTCGGAGGTCTGGGTTGGAAGGGTAAATTGCTGCGGTTCGGCGATGCGAATAGAATCTTGGAACTGAATTTTTGCAATTCCAAAGAGATCAACAGATACTTGAAATTGGTTAAGGCGGTCCACCTTGGATGCGATTTCAGCAATAGCCCCACTGAACACCGTATCCCCGACCATGGTTGACAAAATAATTCAGCCTTGAATCTATCTTCCCATGAGGAGAAATTCAGCGGACTCCAAATTCGCCGTATTGCAAGTAAATAGCCAAAAATGAGACAATTGCTCGAAGACCACCTGGAATTGGTCTAAAATCAGAGTCATACTACCCCTGATGTATCGTCCTGGTCGATATATGCATGGTTGACCGCCTCTCCGCAACAGCGTCAACAGCTGAAATAATGCAGCTAATGGCAGGGATAGCATGGCGAACCGTGAGTATCTAAGTGAGCCAATTCCTGTCTTCCACCAAATCGGTGAAATGGAACTTGCCACAGACCATGGAAATGTCATCATCGACTGAAGGTGCAGCTGACCAAAGTTTCACACCATGAGTATGTGCGTGGATGGTCTGAACCTTGGAGCAGACAAACCATCCTTAGATCCTTCTAAGCTTGTTGAAAGCAGCGTCAAGAGAAGAAGGCAACTGTTGAAGACATGGGCAAAGGAAGTGTGATACTGGCAACATCTCTATTAGTCATGGCATAAGGCGTTGGCCAAATCATCTGGAGATTTACTAAGAGGTAGCTGAAGTTTTTCAACTATCCAGGCTAACACGTGAGCGGTTCAACAACATCAAAACTGCCATCAGGAGTGGAGATGTCTGACTGCCCAGGTGAAGGGAAAGTAGTCTGAGATCGAGTCCGATCCTCAAATCCCGAGCGATTATTGCTAAATGAATGCGTAGACGATTGTTGAACATGTGAGGGCGAGTGACACTGATTCCAAGCAGGCGTAGCGGCACCGAAGCATGGTATCTAAATCCGGCTGGAGCCGGAATCAATAGCAGGATTCCAAGACTCAGCAATAATCTGTGACCGGGCAAAATAGAACTGGAAAGGTGTGAAGGGTGAACGCTGAGCCACTGAAGCGTAACAGCTGCCCTAGCAGGTGAAACCACCCGTACAGAACGGCGTTGCTGATGTGTACTATCATGGGAAGGCACTGACGTAAAGGCGATTACTAGCACAAGGCTGGCTAGAGGGGATATTCTGATTCCCCTGAGGTGAATGAGACCCGATTCTCATTATCCCTCTGGCGCTTAAAGACACCAAGCGGTTAGGTGAACCGGATGGAAATGGCGAACCGCCGACTAGGGTGAGACTGAGCGACTACGGGGAATCAAAAGCGCTGTGGTGAGTCGAACGGAAACACCTGTTGAAATGAATTGAGTCGGAATGTGAAGCGGTTCGTCCTGGTGAACCTATTTGAGTCACGTGGAAACAGTACGGCCAGAGGAACCCGATTCGACTACATGGAATCAGTTCGATCAACTGAACTCATTCGAGATGTTCTGGTGAGCCGCCTGCGGCGTGTGAGCCGGTTCAACAGGGAATTGAGTCGGTTTGGCATGGTGAGCCGGCTCGGCGATGTGGAAGTCGGTTCGGCAGAATTGAGCGGTTCGGTAAGGTGAGCCGGTTCGGCTAAAGTAGAAGTCGGCTTCGGCTGTGTGAAACCGGCTTCGGCGATGTGGAAGTCGGTTCGGCAAGGTGAGCCGGTTCGGTAAGGTGAGCGGTTCGGCTATGTGAGTCGACTCTCGAAAGTGAAGCGAGACCTAAACGACTCTTGCCAGCCGTGGAAGAACGCATTCGAACCTTCTCGCACCAGATGGTGATTCAACTTCGTGTGGGTGAATTGTTCCGGTTAGATGAAACCGTGGAATTAGGAGAGCGGGTGCGTTCCAACCGCGCGCCGATCCCCGCTTTGACGATGAATGCTTAGAAGTTCTCGAAGTCTGTGATCGTTCGAAGAAACAGACCTCTGAGATAATGTAGATCGCCAGGTCTGGCGTAGAAGAAATATCGGTCATTACCACCCTGATACGGCTCCTGAGAACGTAAACTGGGTGAGGAACCTCTCCTAAAAGCCGTCTCACGTTCTCAGATAAATAGGAATCTGACCGAAGCGTCCATAAAATCTTCGTCCAGGCGAGGCGGCCGATTGAGGACGGTGAGCAGTGAGGGTGGAAGCGATCTAAGCATTGTTTCTTAGCGGGAGATGGACCAGACCCCGCAGAAATAGTCCTAGCCCTATCTGCCAAAGCGTCTGGCACAAGCACGCGTTTGTAAGATTTAAAAAGCCTCATTAGACAGACCTGAACACTTAGGACAGCGTGTGTCCCAGTCACAAGCACCCACACAATCAACACCGCGATGTGTGAGGGTCCCATGCTGAAAATACTTTATTACAACGGACGCCAAAACTTCCGTTTACTGGCCTTAACAGGCTTAACCATTTTGAGCAATTCTCAGACGAAAAATTGTTCACGTCCACTCAGTGGAGCGACAAGAAAGAGAATGAGTATGTGAGGTGATCACGTGGGTGAGGACTGCGCATGCCTCGTGCTGTCATGGACTAGTGAGCACGACTGAGACAGGAAGGCATGCACAGCACGGGGAGAGGGGCAAGGTAGGTCTTGAGCAAAGTTTTAATTCGTTTCCACTCATGGTCGAATGAAGAGAGAGAGGTGCAAGTCGTGAGATAGGATAAGTTTAAAAATTTACATTTTTAGTTTTGCTACTTCATAATAAAATACTGAACACTCTCAAAGTAAACATATTTTTCAATCAAACACGAATTTTGTCTTTAATTACACAGCACAGCATAATAAAGCATGCAGAGTAGTACCCTTCATACCAGATACAGACAAACTGTCACTGATTTAACTGAATGGGAACACAACAAGCAATGGTATGACTATGAGTAACACCACTTTAACATAGACATGCAGTACTCAGGGTGGGAAAAAAAGAAATAACCCATTGCCAGACGCCCCAGTCCAGTGTTTTTTACTGTCGGGCAAGCCAATTTGTATATCACGCTATACCGGTGTCCAGTTGACTTTCCAATGTTAATTATGTTGTTTATTTTTAAAAAAACACAAGAAAAGTGGCCGGTATAGTGGAAAAATTATCAGGGCAAGTGATTTTACATGTGCAACTGTACAGGAGTACACTAGCAATTTTAAAGTTATTTCCACCCCTGGGTACTGCATGATAAGTTCTCAACCAAAATGAAGACAAGAGTAACAATAAAATGCTTGCAGTTACCCATGACCACTTACTTTACACTACGTACATTGACCATCACTACTTACATTAAAAGAATTATTCAGCGATTTTGACTTGGCTTCCAGTTGTATTTTCTCAGTAGAAAGGTCGTTGGTTTTCTTTTGCAGCTTCCTCTTTTCTTCTTCTTTAGCTGCAGGAATCACAAGACAAGGTTAGAAGGTTCAACAAGTAACAGTATTTCAGCTATATCACAACATGCCACCATTATATGGAGGTAAGCCAAGTGACACATGTTGTTCATTATACTGGTGAAAGTCAGTGTACAGGTATTATACAGACAAACCCAAAACACACATCTTAGTCCTCTGAACAGCAGCGCTTTAAGAAGGGGACTTCCAGAAAGACAAAGCAAATCTCAGGACAAGATTAGAACATCACCAGTCTCACTTTAGCCAATCAAGTCGGGTCTAGTAAACTGTGCTTAGATTTGTTCAGATTTTCTGCTATGACAAATGAAGTCAAGTAACAAGTTAAAGCTGGCAGAATCATATCCTTTTCTGACTGTAAAATGGAATGGGAGAGAGAATGCTTGATGTGTTACTGTGAGAATGAGTTTGTGAGTGAAAGCATGTATGAATCATTTTAGGCAACCAAGGGTTAGCAAATAAATTATATATATCAACAGATCATGGGAGAGTTTGCTGAACATTATTAAAGACAGAAGAGAGAGGATTCATGCAAGGGGCCACGGATGCCAGAAGCATGTCACCACACCAGTAACCAGTAAATAAAGTATATTTAAAATTGATATTTTTATACTTATCCTGACTCATGATCTTTGGCTTATCTCCCTTTTCTTTTTGAATGGTACTGGAACACTTGCATCCCTTGAAGTTCCCGAAGTGGACATAAAAATACACTCACCCACGAGTTACCTCCCTTTTCCCACGTAAACAGTCATGTGACCAGCCTTATTTGTCACTCTCTCCTGATTTTTCTGCCCAAGCACTTGGATCTGCTGTGCAATCCGAAGTGTTTCCAGTGGGGAGGTTGGGAGGGCTTCTCGTCATGAGTCAGGGTAAGTATAAAAATATCAATCCGACGGATTGGTGGTGGGTCAAGCCACTTCATGGATTCATCAACTGTCCTTAGATACGTCCTGTATCCCCTCCATGGGAACTGCAAAATGGCATTTCCTATTCTTCCAACTTCCGTTATAACTCGGGGACCACTTTGTTGTCTTACTTCCATCTCAGACAAGTTGAATCATCTTGATTCATGTGGCTTAAGATATACTAGTATCTTCTTTTTACTAGATATCTATAACAACCCATAGATTATGATAAGATCTTTATCATAAATGAGTTGCGACCCCTTCACGTACAGGTAAGATCTTTACCCGTACAGGATCTTTAATCACTCATGCTAGTCTGTCCTAGACTGTGCGCATGGACTTTCAAACTAATACTTTTCCTTAGTAAAAGTTATCAACAAGTCAACGTGATAAAGGGTGAGATTTTCCAACTCAGCGCCTTTGAGGAACTGTTAGTTGCTGTGCTACAACGAGAGGCCCAAATTGCTGAATGCCAGAGACGTCTTCAGTGGCTATGTCTCGGAGGTAGTGGTTGGCAAACACCGTATCCAACTTCCAAAAGCAGCCCTCCATAATTGCTCATATAGAGCAATTTCCCTGCAGAGCCAATGTTGACGCCAGTGCTCTGACTTCGTGCGGGTTGGAAGCTCTAGGAGGTTCTAGTCCTGCTGCTTTATAGGCTCTCAATATGACGGCTCTCATCCCGAACAATATCGTTCGTTCTTGAGACTTCTGCTGATGTCTCTGTGGATAATGGGATGAACAGGCGCTTTAATTTTTGTCTCCTTGTCTTAGTCTTTTGAAGATATCTTTTCAGGGCTCTGACCGGACACAAGGATAGGTCCTCTATATCCTCTGGTCCGAGGATTGTAGATAGCGCTGGTACGTGGAACTGTCTATCTGGCTGACCAGGTAGTAGGTTCTTGGCAATGAAGTCCCATCTAAGTCCTAGATGAACTGCAGCATGTTGCCCCATGTCAAATCTGGTTCGACCAAAGTCCAGCGTATGTATCTCTGATATCCGAGCTGCCGTGGCTAGCGCAAGCAGGAACAGAGTCTTCTGTGTCAGCAGCTCGAAGGTAGTATGGTCTAGAGGTTCGTAGACATCACTTGTAAGATGACGTAGAATTACATTCAGATCCCAGGCCAGAGCTCTGAACTTCTTTTGCTGGTCCTCCAGTTTAAAAGATCTAAGCAGAGCAAGTAATTCTGCTACTTTCGTCAACTTGATGCCTGTTTTCATGGTAATCACTGTACTGATGGCAGCGAGGTATGTAGATAATGTCGAACCTTTCAGATGTCTAGTCTGTCTAAGATGACACAGGTATTCCGCCACTTGAGGATGAGTAGCTTTCATAGCAATAAAGCCTTTCCGCCTTGCATAAGTCTCAAACTTGAGCCACTTGTCATCATACAGGTTACGAGTAGATCTGCGTAACGCTAGCGTTACTGCCTTGGCTGAGAATCCTCTTTTCTTCAAACATGTTTTGATACGGTCCACACATGTAGCTGGAACAGTGTTGGGTTCCCGTCGACTTGCTTGGTGTGTGGATGTATGAGTAGGTTCGGCCAATCTGGTAACTTGATTGTTGGACTTCCGAGATCTTCTATTAGGTCTAGGAACCATACTTTCGCTGGCCAGTATGGCGCAACCAAAGTCAGTTGTAGAGCCTGTGTCTGTTTGATCTTCAACAGTACTTTCAGTAGTAATATCGGGGGTGGAAACGCGTAAGCGTTTAGTCCTTCCCAGGATATGCTCAGTGCATCTGTTGCCCAGGCCTGAGGATCTGGAACTGGTGAGACAAACGTCTGTAGTTGTATGTTGAACCTCGTGGCAAATAGGTCCTATTTCCCTTATGATGAGCCGAAATGCTTGTGGATGGAGCATCCATTCCGTATGTGACTGGTGCAGTGGTCAGGAGAGAGCCTCTGCAAGCACGTTCTTGGCTCTGGGTATGTGACACACCTTTATCCAGATGTTTGCCTCCTCCATGATGTTAGACAACTGGAATGTGAGCTGTAGTAGGCTTGGTGATCTTGAGATCCTTGCCGATTTATGGAGAATGCCACTGTAGAGTTGTCCGTGTGGACCATCAGCATTCTGTTGATCAGCGAGCTCGACCATAGTTGTAAGGCGTTGATCACAGCTTTCATCTCCAGCAGATTGATGTGATGATGCTGCTCTGTTTTGGACCACTTCCTTGATGCAACTTGATTGTTGAGATGCGCACTCCAACTTTGTATCGATGCGTCTACGTAGAAATGTGTGTCGAAGGCTGGCTCTTGTAAATAGGTCCCTCCGCAGACGTTCGACCTGTGGGTCCACCAAAGTAGGTACACTTTGAGATTGTCTGGCAGCAAGATAGGGTCGATGCTGTCCAGATGTTTTGTCAGGAACCGTTGCAGCGGCCTTAGTTGTAACCTTCCTGTGTGAGTCAAGTCCTGCACCGAGGATAGTTGACCCAGTAGACATTGCCATGTTCATAGTGTTAACGGAGAGATGACTGCTTGTGGAATCATGGCTTGTATCTTGACCCAATGATCTTCTGGGACCACAATTTGATTCTGTGTTGTGATAATTCTTATTCCCAGCAATTGAAGATCTTGTTTGATTCTAACTCCAATCTTCATCAGGTTCACTAGCCATCCTAGTTGCATGAGCAACTTAATTGTGAAGTTCAGCTGCTGTCTGAGTTGATTGGCACTTTGAAGAACCTGTATGCCGTGGTCCAGATAACTGGTTCTGCGTAGACCTCGATGCTGCAGATAGGTGCCGATAGGCTTGGTTATTCATATGAATAATCCTAGAGCCGACGATATTTAACGCTAGGACGTTCCATTGGAAGTGCTAATCTCTGATTGCAGTGATGATACATCATTCTTTCCCTTATATACGCAGGCGATCTGTGTTGATCAGCATACATCGAGCGTTGTCTATTTATATTCCTTTGATGATAACAGGCCGTAGTTGTATACTGTTTCCAAGGCTGCCGATGAAGTATTCCCCCTTACCACGAGTTTGCTTACAAATCAGAAAACATGCTGGAGCCTGCTCTGTCAGTGGGAGGCGTTGTCTGACGTGGACCAATCAGCTTCCAAGCATGACGTCACCGGTGTTGTAGCAAGTTGGCCTACATACAATCTGGAAGTCATCAGCGTATATGCAGTACGTCTCTGTTGGGTTGGAGTGAGTGAGTGAGTGAACGACAATATCCGCAGGCCATTTGCTACCAGGTATAAGACCTCAGCATCCGTATAGATGAAGTGATTCCTTTCATCAAGTAGGTTGTCGTCCGAAACTGAACCTATACAGGTATAAGGTTTGTGCAGGTTGTAGACTTTTGTAGGCTGTAAACTAGTGATCGCACATGTTGTAGATTTTTTTGTTGAGTATTAAACTATGCCAAACCCTTCTGTTTTCATCATTGCTTCGTTTTACTCAGCCGTATGGTAATAGAGTTGACAACAACCTGCCTGTTGCTGTAAGTATTAGATATACCCACACTTTCCGAGGTGTGCCGCTCAATACCCCTACTGTTTGAGTTGTGTGGCCTCCGAGGCGTTAGCCGAGGAGACCACCGACTCAAACAGTAGGGTATAATTACACACCGAGGAAGTGTGGGTACATCTGACTTATACCTCACTTCTGGTCGAGTTACGAGTTTATTATAACACTTTATGTTCTAATTATGACAATTTTTTTTATTTCTTTTCTATCTGTTTCATTTCTTTTTAGCCCACTGGTTAAGACCCTCAAATGTCCCGCGTCTATAGTCTGTTTGCAGTGAAACCTACCGATCAATTTCACTTTAAACAAAAAAGTACTCAAATAAGTGAAATTAAGATTGCGAATCTCATAATTTGACCTTGCCAAATGAACATCTCAGAATTATATTCAACTTAGAATAAAATTTGTTTAACAAATGATCATAGTTTCAAATCAATATTATTGGTTTGTATTACAATTTTAGGGGGTAAGCGCGTAGTTGGAACAGTGAAACAAATGCCCGTCGCGATGCGTAACAAGCGTTAACTTCTACCAAACCTGCATGTTCTGGGTGTTTCATTTAATCGCATACCCCATTGTAATACAAACCAATAACAGCTTTGAAACTATGATCGCTTGTTAAACAACTTTTATCCTAAGCTGAATATAATTCTGAGATTTAAATGTTCAATAGGCAAGGTAAAATTATGGGCATTTGCAATCTTAGTTTCACTTTATTTGATTTACTTTTAAAGTGATATTCATCGATGCGTTTTCACTGCAAACAGACTATAAGCAGTCGATTACATGTGCATGCACGGGCTTGCACGATTTCCCACGATTTTAAACACCAGTTCGGGCGCGAGAATGACTTCAAGTAGCCCCAAATATGCTAATATTACTGATAATTGACATTTGTATGGGCAGACCAATGCGCATGCGTTCTCTGACTTCGCATGTGGCATAGAAAACATTTGGAAGATCACCGTTAGATTCGCAAGGGATGCTGAAGAGTGGACAGAGGATTTTCTTTCTCAAATTGACAGTTCGTTAGCGTCACATTTCGACCTGGATGATAAGGAAGATTTTGAAACAATCGAAATCTCAATGTGAGTCCATTGAAATAAAATTATATTTCGCCGTTTGTTGTGTCTTTATTGCTTCGGTATACCCTAGTGAAAAAGTGTAGGTGTATCATTGATACACCTACACTTTTGACAGGTGTACCGGTCAATACACCTACACTTTTAACAAAGGAAACCATGGCAACGAGACCGGAAGCGGGGTATAAGGGTTTGTTAACCCTAGGGTTCGCGAACCCTGCAGATGTCTGCGTTGCTGTTATCTGCCTGTAGATCTGAGAGTTCTCGAACCTTGTACATGTCTGCAGCTTTCTCAAAGCTGTGCGTAGGTTAGAAGGTACCTTGGATATAGGTTCAATCGGAGGAATAGACACCGAATCAAAGTCGTCATTACGCATCTTATATGTGTAGACTTCATCTATATCCTTAGAAGGAGACTCCAAGTTCAAACCATTGGCTATCCAAGCTGTAACCTCTGAGTCCAGGCGACGAAGTCTGGTTATACATCAGTTAATCTCCAGATTGGTAGAGCTATGCCTCCGCGAATCATCCTTCTGCAAACCTGTAGCCCTTCTCGAACCTCCATCATCCTTTCGCGAACTGAAGATCCTCCCTTCGCGAACCTCTATCTTGAGAGTCCTCTCTTCGCAAACCTCTATCTGTGGATTCATCTCTTAGCGAACCTCTGTGACATGAGCCTACTCTTCGCGAACCTCTGTCGCTAGATGTATCCCTTCGCAAACCTCTGTGATGTGAGCCTCCTCTTCGCGAACCTGTGTCTCGTGATGAGTGACTTTGCGAACGTCTGTGAGAGATATGAGATCTCGATCTAGAACGGCTATGTGTAGGAGATGAATCCCGTGATGTTCTCGAATGTTGAGGGTTCGCAGATGTAGAACGGTGAGTAGGCATCTCATGTCTTCTATCCTCCTCCAAGATGACAAAGTCGGTAGACTGTGGAGACCTTCGCAAGGTGTACGTTCGCCAACGTAGTCTTGAGACGAAGTTCTATGTGGAGTAGGTTCACACAGGTCTGTAAGTTCGCGCAGGTCCGTAGGTTTGCGTACGGTGTTAGTAGATGAGAGGATTCGCCGAGCCTTCGTTTCTTCCTCGAACCTCCGTATACGGGACTCCAGTGCTCGCCATCCACTTCGTCGAAAAGGGAGAGAGTGACAAGTAAGGCTGGTCACATGACTGTTTACGTGGGAAAAGGGAGGTAACTCGTGGGTGAGTGTATTTTTACGTCCGATTCGGGAACTTCAAGGGATGCAAGTGTTCCACTACCATTCGCAAGGAAAAGGGAGATAAGCCAAAGATCATGAGTCAGGATAAGAAAAAAATTAAGAATGTACACGAGTGGGTGACATTACCTGCTTTTGTTGCAATGTAGGAATGTACAAGAGCCAGAGTCTCTGCTGACCCAGCCCAATTCTTGTTTGACGCCTGAAACAAAAGAATTGGGAATTTCTTCATAATTTCATTGCATGGCAACAGAAAATTATAGATAGTTTTGAGGTGTATAGGTGTATATCACATCATGTCCCAAGATAAAGGACAGAGATACCCATCACAATAATAAGTATCCTAGGTGCTTCAACATTGACTAAGCAGGGGTGCTTACTGAAAGTTACAAAACATGAGGTGAACTTTTGTCTGAGCAGTGGTGAACAAATTATAAACCTTATCTACAGTACCGTATATGACCGTCTATAAGCCGAATTTTGAGGACCAAAAAAAGCAGTCTGTAGAAGGGGGTCGTCTTATCCATGGGTTACTTTTTTCCAGGGGTAAGAAAACAACATCGTATCATTTCGTGTGAACAAACAACAGAAGACGACTTTGTCAGTAGAGACGTCAAATTTGCAATTCAACATCACTAGACAAGATTATTTACCTTTTAAGTTACTAGTATAAGTTGTTTTTGCTGGGCATTGTATTATTTGCAGGGATTAAGATTACCGTGCGTATTTGTCTCGTACACAAAGCCGGAAATAGCAATCAGCTGTGCACACGTTTCCCGGCAAACAAGTTCAAACATGCACAATAATATAACGGGACGAATTCTGACGCAGTCATCAGTAAAATATAATACAGAATACCATTATTTAACCCAAAGAAATATATCCTAGCATTGTGTAATTTTAGTTACAGTTTTTGCTCTATAAATTAATTAAGATTACCGTGTGTATTTGAGCCGGAAATAGCAATCAGCTGCATTTTTGCACACGTTTCTCGGCGAACAAGTTCAAACATGCACAATAATATAACGGGATGAATTCTGACACAGTCGTCAGTAAAATATAATACAGAATACTATTATTTAACCCAAAGAAATATATCCTAGCATTGTGTAATTTTATTTACAGTTTTTTATGTAAAATATATATAATCAAGACTAAGGTTATACGGACCCTCATGAACGTGGTAAGCACATGGAATGGGGTAAAATACGGAAGCCATTTAAATTCTAACATTTTTACCGATGTTACTGTAAACTAGCAGTCAATGGAAAACGAGGCGGTAATCAGTTCGTGATTGTTGAATGGGGTAAAATAAGCAAGCCAGTTTGTTGCTACAATAAATATGATATTTAGAGAAGCAAAATATATTATGCATTTTCTGTCAACTACACTTGTTTCGATCCGTGAGTAGACACAATATATATGACAGTGAATTCTTTGAATAATGTTGACCAAAGTCATAATTATTGGTAACTGCCAGTTGTCTGTGGTCTGTGTTTGCTGCGATTAGGACCCCATCGCGGGGGATCGACTTATGCACGAAACATACCATTTTGACACTGATTTTAAGGGTCAAATTTGGGGGTCGTCTTATCCATGGGGTCGTCTTATAGACGGTCATATATGGTAGTTCCTTCTAAATGATATACCCTTTCTACACTGCTCTAAAAATATCTGTAATACATGCAAGGAGATATGGACTGTCACAGTTAGTTACAGCCTGGTCTAGTAGCTGGTCAGGGCACTTATTGGATCAGGTCTATATACGGTGATTATGATAGCATAATTGTCTTTCTGGTCTTTCTTGGAACCTACCTGTCAAGATCCGGGTTAGAATTGGTCTTCAGTAACCCATGCTTGTCGTAAGAGGCAACTAACAGGATCAGCTGAACTAGCTGACTAGGTTGAGACATGTCATCATATCCCAATAGTGTAGATCAATGCTCATGCTGTTGATCACTGGACTGTCTGGTCCAGAGTCGATTATTTACAGACCGCCACCATATAGCTGGAATATTGCCGAGTCCGGCGTAAAACTAAACTCACTCACTCACAACTTGGAACCTAACACATCCTAGCTTCAGAGAGTCAAAGCATACACCATTCTCAAGTGTCCAAATTTTCAGGCAGACAGTCCTCCTTTCCAAACTCACCTGACACTTGGGACAACTCCAGGGACTCAGGGGTACTGTTGTGAGGGGTGGGTTCAGACAGTCTAGGTGATACACCATTCTACATGAGCTGCAAAGCAGTAACTCTCCTTCCTTCCCACAAACAGCACAGAAATCATCATGTGCTTCAGCCTGATGGAAAAACAGTTAGGCAATTTTAACATGACACATAAAAGAAGTGAAAACCAAATCAGTGCAAAACAACGACAAGAACAGGCACAACCCTTTATTCCGAAATCCTTCAAAATTTGAAGATCATTCAGACTGGATAAGTAAAACCTCTTGTACCAAAAGAATGAATTAATAGATTTTCATTCCAAGCTGACTTAATTCCAAACACAATGCCAGCCTCATGTCATTCACAACTGTCCCCAAGGGCCACTGCCAAACAGACCCATGAAGATCCGGGTTAGAATTGGTCTTCAGTAACCCATGCTTGTCGTAAGAGGCAACTAACGGGACAGGGTGGTCCGGCTCGTAGACTTGGCTGACACATGTCATCATATCCAAATTGCGTATATCAATGCTCATGCTGTTGATTGTCTGGTCCAGACACGATTATTTATAGACTGCCGCCATATAGCCGAAATATTGCTGAGTGTGGCATAAAACTAAACTCGTTAACTCATTAACTACCATACTACCATACACCCTGACACACATTGTTTAGTACCTACAGATGAAGGCACAGTGTCCTTATGTAAACATTTTGTGGGTAAGTAAAGGGGATTTTCCATGCAGTGTAAATATTTTGGATATAAGACTGATGAAAAAATGACAGTAATTACTAAAAAGTTAACCAAATATACAGCTTCATTTATCTCATTTTCAAAACAAATGAAGATGGTGCTGTTCCCAGTGAAATTATTTGGATTACATTTTGTTTAAACAAACCTACAGTCAAGGCCCTTTGTACATAACAGAAGGCAGTCACCCAGGTTTTCAGCTGCTGAAAATACTCAAGCACTGTCCTCACAGACTTACCTCCCCTGAACCATTGCGCATAATGTTGTTCTTGTACAACATGCCATTGTGAGGGCTGTCTGGTGTCGTTGGGCGGCTGTTGTTGGGGGAAGGACCATGTTTCGGAGGCCGGCCTGCAGGTTAAGGAACATATGCATGATTGCTAGCATATAGGTTGCACTAAAACCTTTTCATTTATATGAAACTCAGCTTGAGATCCTGAACAAATATCAGTAAGTAACTAAGTTTTTTTTAAAAACATCATATCAAGAAAATAGGTACCCGGTGGGATAAGTCATGTGACTATTAACCTTCTAACCCTTCACAGGCTGGTTGGGTTATCCGGGGTAATAATTACAGTGCTTTTGGGCAGTGCTACATTGGAAATCAGTGCATTACAAATGAATAACATTATCATTATCTATTTCATTAACTGAAAGATAAATGCTGTTTGGCCAGAATACAGAGTAGAGGGTTTGTGAAACTTTCAGGCAGACAGATGAGACTTTGTTCTATTTTTTCACTTATCTACACTACTGTACACGTTCCAAGCATCCAGTGTTACCTACCTCTCGGCCTCTTGACACCTGGTGGCAGGGGATTCAGCAGATAGTGGGACACCCTCTTTCTCTGATAAAATAAAATCAACATCAGTTCACTAGCTAATTTGTGTACTTGAGAGGCATCTAGCAACAATTTTAGTCACAATATATTGTACATATTGTAACAGCAATAACACAACCACAGTGTGTCAGCAGTTATATCACAGTTTAGTACATGTTGTATCAGCTATATATTAACAGCAATAACACAACCACAGTGTGTCAGCAGTTATATCACAGTGTAGTACATGTTGTATCAGCTATATTGTATCAGCTATACTGTAAAAGCAATAACACAACCAGTGTCAGCAGTTATATCACAGTGTAGTACATGTTGTATCAGCTATATTGTAAAAGCAATAACACAACCACAGAGTGTCAGCAGTTATATCACAGTGTAGTACATGTTGTATCAGCTATATTGTAACAGCTATAACACAATAACACAACCAGTGTCAGCAGTTATATCACAGTGTAGTACATGTTGTATCAGCTATATTGTAACAGCTATACTGTAAAAGCAATAACACAACCAGTGTCAGCAGTTATATCACAGTGTAGTACATGTTGTATCAGCTATATTGTATCAGCTATACCGTAAAAGCAATAACACAACCAGTGTCAGCAGTTATATCACAGTGTAGTACATGTTGTATCAGCTATATTAACAGCAATAACACAACCACAGTGTGTCAGCAGTTATATCACAGTGTAGTACATGTTGTATCAGCTATACTGTAAAAGCAATAACACAACCAGTGTCAGCAGTTATATCACAGTGTAGTACATGTTGTATCAGCTATATATTAACAGCAATAACACAACCAGTGTCAGCAGTTATATCAGTGTAGTACATGTTGTATCAGCTATATATTAACAGCAATAACACAACCACAGTGTGTCAGCAGTTATATCACAGTGTAGTACATGTTGTATCAGATACTGTAAACGTACTTATTTTCGCGTGGTGCAATTTTCGCGGAATTGACAGTTTAGACTACATTGCGCGGTCAATTATTCGCGCAATCAGTAATTGCCGGAACTGCCAGCTGTCTCTTTTGCCGCCACTAATAGCAGTGAAAACAAACAGAGTGGCTTAACCTGTCAGGCGGCGTTTATTGCTTACTCATAGGAAACCCCTATCTGTGCGATATACTAGTACACAGTAACCCGTTTACTCCCGGAGGAGATGAAAAACACATCAGTCTTATGTTCCGAATTCTGACGATCTGACGAATTAACTTATACTGTATATGAAGCTTTTTGTGATTTCAAACAAGCCGGGTTGTTGTGAATGAGTTGACTGAGTGTTAAGTGACTATTCGCTTCATGATGATACGTTTGTATCTAAATGAATAAATAAAATACTGCTGTATTATTTCTTTCCGAGTTGTTTCATGGTAATCTGTTTTGTATCAAACCATCTGTCATGTGACCAATTTCCATGGCGGCCACAACATACATTGCTGTTTTTGCTAATTCGGCGATGGGATTTGGCTCATTATTTAATTATGTTTTGGGAAATCCATTACAGCGACAGTTAAGTATGATTGTTTATGCTACTATCAGTCGTCATTTTAAGATTCCCGTAGATTTCTGTCTTCAAACTTGATGTGTTATGGTTTATTCGCGGTGTATAAATTTGTCGCTAAAATGTTTTGCGCGAAAAGCGCGAAAATAGAACCTGCGTGAAATATACTACGTTTACAGTATACTGTATCAGCTATACTGTAAAAGCAATAACACAACCAGTGTCAGCAGTTATATCACAGTGTAGTACATGTTGTATCAGCTATATATTAACAGCAATAACACAACCACAGTGTGTCAGCAGTTATATCACAGTGTAGTACATGTTGTATCAGCTATATATTAACAGCAATAACACAACCACAGTGTGTCAGCAGTTATATCACAGTGTAGTACATGTTGTATCAGCTATATATTAACAGCAATAACACAACCACAGTGTGTCAGCAGTTATATCACAGTGTAGTACATGTTGTATCAGCTATATATTAACAGCAATAACACAACCACAGTGTGTCAGCAGTTATATCACAGTGTAGTACATGTTGTATCAGATATACTGTATCAGCTATATATTAACAGCAATAACACAACCAGTGTCAGCAGTTATATCACAGTGTAGTACATGTTGTATCAGCTATATATTAACAGCAATAACACAGTCACATTTTATCAGCATCAATCCAGTTGTGGTTTAACAGCAATATAACTGATAATTGAAACAGCTGAAAAGATTAAATTATTGTTCATTTTGCTCAACAAATAAGGAGTAACAGATACCTCAGGTTCAAAATTATAACTGAATTGTGGGTTGGCCGTAGACCTCCGTTTTCTCTCAGTCCTTTTGCACTGCAACTCTGAAATAGACAACCATTGCACGCCATCAGTATCCATGTACGCTTGAGACAATTACTAGCATTGCACAAGTAAGCACCTATGACGTGTAATCCACAAAACAAAATTACAAAGTAAATACTTGTTGTGAATAAATGTTTGAAACTTGTTGCCATGGAAGCCTAAAACATAGTTTTTCTAAACAAATCCCACACTATAGTTACTAGTAGTTCCCCTCTAGACCTACTCATCTGCCAAGCGTGGAAAAATAGATTTTCAAGATCTTCTCAGGAAACAACCTCTTGCATGGATGGTGGATATAACTGATGCTGACAAAGAGCTTTCAGATGACTATAAAACAATTCATGTAGTCCTCCTCATAACATTTCCACATGAATAGACAAAAATGAGTCAGTGTCTACCTTTCAGTGCATCAGGAGTGACTAGATCCAGAGAAGCCATGAAGTCCATTTTCTGAAAGTCAAACAAATCCCAACTTAGCAACACTTCTTCAAAATGGCACAGCACATCAATTAACGCATCACTTCACAATATTCAAACAATATGATGGCAATCTGAAAATAAGAGAGTAGACCAGACCATCCAGTGATTGCAATCATGAGCATTGATCTATACATTTGGGATTATGACATACATCAACCAGGTCAGAGACCGTGACCACCTGATACTGTTTTTGCCTCATTAGACAAGCACAGATTGCTCAAGACCAATTATAGACCGATTATTCACAGGTTGCACTGCTATTTAAATGAAATACCTGCGATCCATTACTTAACATTATCCAATCATACCTGCTTCTGTTCTGGCTTGATCTGCTTCCTGTCCACAGACTTACGGGAATCTCTGGTGACATCAGAGTCTGACACTCGTCTCTGTGGCTCTGAATTTGGGGGAGGCATATGGTTCTTGCTATTGACTAGAACAGGTTTCTGGCCCTGGAAAATCAATGCATGCATAAATCTTCAATTGTTTCTCAGTTGCTCTATGTCCCAGACAGCACAATTCCAGCAATAAAATGGCAACCTGTTATAAACTGATTTAGGACCAAGCAACAAGTGGTTGATGGCAATCTCAGGCAATCAAGGTAACGAGACACACAACCAGCTAACTCACCAGACCACCAGATCCCCATGTTTGTCTGCGGTACTGGGAATCTCCACATAAGAGATTTCAACTAACATGGCAAGAAGTGTTCAAGAAATAGTAGTATTTTTACAGGGTGACATAAGAACACATAGGTAGGATAAGCTTGGTTGGTTGGTTTGTTGTTTAACGCCGCACTCAGCAATATTCCAGCTATATGGCGGTGGTCTGTAAATAATCCAGTCTGGACCAGACAATCCAGTGATCAACATCATAACTGGGATATAATGACAAGTGTCAACAAAGTCAGCAAGCCTGACCGCCCTGATCCTGGTAGTAGCCTAGAAGACCAATTCTAACCTGAATCTTCACGGATGGGTAGGACAAGCAATGGGAGGACACTTCAACTTCAACATTGTCATCCAGCACACAAGCCAGAAAGCACAATTACATAATCTAAATACATGTAAACATGGTCAATGTTCCAATGGCCCTGTGAGATTTGCCATTTCACAGCACTCTAAGATTAGATCAAAACTTGGTACTGTCCTTAAGATAAGATGTTCTCCTCAAGAAATAAGCATCCAATATATCTCTGTTGCTATCATGTTCTACAAGTTTTACATGCTGTAATCAAATAGCTGAATGAAAGGTATTTTATGCCTCTCCACAGCATTATTAGGTTTCAGGAAAGACATCAAGTTAGCAAGCCTAGTCCAGACAATGCAGTGGTTGATAGTGTGACCAATGTGTATAAGGACTCTTTCCCCCCATCAACAAATCCCTTCTAAGCCTGTTCAGTCACATCTTCAATCAAACGTTGGATACTGGGAATTAACTCTGCATAGGCTTTCCCACATGTCTGACCCATGATCACATGGGACTCCTCCAACATGACAAAATGAGATCCACTAACTGTGAGAAAAGGGTAACAACAAATTTAACGCTGATATCAGCTTCTTTACTAAAATATGAGAATTGATTTCAAAATTAAAATAATTAAAAAAAAAAGACATCTATGTTAACCATGTTCCTTTAACCTTTGCTTTGATATCATACACCGTGATAATTAGGAGACAAAACCTACTGTTATGAAATTTGCAGTAGTATAACAGAATTATAAAGCGTTTTTATCTTGTTCGAATGAATATTTGTTTCTATGCTTGATAAGTATTTTTGTATGTATTAATACCTATTTCTGTGATTTCTGACGCAAGGAATGAGTCAAGCCCATCATCGCCAAATCCATCTTTAAATACATATGTGTAATTTCCGGCAGGAAAAACGACATAATCTATCAATGTGTCGGTAGTTTAATTGGTGTCCGCCATGTTCATGGGCAAATGAAAATAGTGCATTAAAGTAAACCATGTAAAATTGCGCATGGAAAAATCAGACCTGTAAAACTGAATTATATACCTCTGAATGACTTTAATTAACCAATCACAATCTAGTATTTACTGAAGTCATGGTAGAATGATAAATACCTTGGCGTTTCTGCAGTAGCTCACCTGGACTGCTTTGGATGGAGCTGAGCTTACAACAGGGTACTGTGGGACTCTGATGGGTGGAGAGCTACCCCGTGGGGCAAGAGGCTTCAGGGCAGGTTTGATTGGCACCTGAGTTGGAGTTGTGGCGATGTTGTTGACGATGTTGTTGACAATGTTGTTTACAGGTTGTTGTTTGGTGGTGTCGAGGCAGACTGTGAGGTCGGAGGGTTGGCAGGCTGAGGCCGACACAGGTAGCACCACGGCTTGACATGTCTGTGGGGAAAGGATCTACTGTTTCATATTATATAGCTTCAAACGGATGGTTGGATTAACAAGACTAATTGTGTCACTATCTCAATCTCTATTATCAGTAATGTGCAGCAGAATTTCTGACACAAGGGTTGATAGCAAGCGGTATTTAAGCAAACTGGTGGAAGGCAATAATTTTAGTACTTTTCATAAAGTCAAATATATGAGATTGCCTTCCCCTAGCCTAAACTGTGCCATGAAATAAGTGAGTGAGTATGCTTTTACACCACTTTTAGCAATATTCCAGCAATATCACGACAGGGAATGTGAGAAATGGGCTTCACACATTGTATCCATGTGGGGAATTGAACCCAAGTCTTCAGCAACCCCTCTGCCCCGCCATGAAATGAAGGAATCATACTAATCTTATCTTTGACATTTATAAACAATTATCAACCAAAGACATACAACTTACTTTTTCCTGCTTGACACATGATTCAACGTGATACAACAATGTTACAGAATTCAACAGCAGGAAACTGTACACAGTTTTACCATAACTGAGATAGGTTATAGACAACTGACAAAGAAAGAACAGATTCCAAGTACAAACACAAATTACTGCAATCCTTTGAATGTAAATGTAAATGAAAAGGACTTAGTAATGACTGCTGTTACTGTACTGAATATTTTCACTTGGTAGGTGAGCAGCGGTTTGCAGGTAATTATAACATCATCTGATCAGGTATCAAAGAACCAAGGTGCTATCCTACATGCTTTGAGACTTGTCATGTTACTTCATTAGAAGCACTCAATGTAGTGCTATTTGTAATGCCAAGGAGAGGGAGTATCCCAGGGGTGGAAACAACCCATTGCCCGACGTCCGAGTCCACTGTTTTTTTCTGTCGGGCAAGCAAATTTGTATATCACACTGTACCGGTGTCCAGTTGACTTTTCAATGTTAATTATGTTGTTTATTTTAAAAATCAACAAGAAAACGGCTGGTATAGTGGAAAAATTATCAGGGCAAGTGATTTTACATGTGCCACTGTACCTGAGTACACTAGCAATTTTAAAGTTATTTCCACCCCTGTTTCCTTATGTGATATATATCCTTGTTTTTAGCATTTGCAGTGAACCTCAACACCAGGTATTTATACCACCCTGCATCAAGTTTCATGAGTATGAGTTAAAAAAACAATACAGAATCAAGATTTGGATGACGATTGCATGGCAAACATGTTTATAACGAACTGGCTCACATTAAACTTGTTTTCAGTCTCGGACACTCAATCGACATTCATATAATGAACTACAGTCACAACAATGAAAATGACAAGATATCAAGGGCAAGGGAGATTACTTAATGAATCGAGTGCCATCAGTGTGTCACAAACAGGCAGATATGAAGTCCCACTAACGTAATGGTACTGTCAGTAATGGTGTCAATGTGGAGCACTGATGGCAAGTGATGTCAGAGATACATTTCTGTGGTTCTGCCCTTGCCTTCAGCAAAGATGTTGACGGTACCTATTCATCTGCTATTAGGGTCAAGACATAACTATTTAAACAAGAAATGTGCAAAAATCATCCCAAAATTGATACATATCTTGCATATAAAATTCATTTAACCACCACCCTTTCTTTACAACAGGGTTTATGGATTCATCTGTTTAGATGAGTAGAAAAGATAGGAGTGGCAGAGGTCAAACTGTACACATCTTCAGCATAACGGAAACATTTGACATTGTGTGTGTTTTAATAGCTCTGTAAAACATTCATTTCACCCATATGTATTTAAACTGTATCTGGCACAAGAAGTTAAGAATTTCAACATGATCAATAACGAGGTTGTCTGTGATAGCCTCCTGTTCTTCTACTTTAACATAAAGCTGTAGAGAATCAGCTACATGACCAACTCACCTGTAGCTTGGAGTGAGCTGCAGGCACGGTGACACTGAAAGTAGTTGGCAGGATAACAGCCTGGGCCTGCACCTGGGTACATGCCACTAACGGAGGCTGTCCCACAGACAGTGCTGTCACAGGGGGTTGGGGTGTTGGGGCTAGACTTGTTGCTGGGACAGACACTTGCACTGCGATCTGTGTTGTAGGTACTACATTGGATATCTGTTTCTGAACCAGTTCCTTTCGTAAACTCTGCACAACAGCTTTCTGAAACAGAAAAAAATTGCATTTTAGAATAAGCAGATTTAACAATGCTAAGTTGAGTGATAGGTGGTAATAGCACTCAACACTCCATGCTTTGCGACACTGAGATAAACCTGCTGGACTATGAAGAATCTATAAACAGAATTCAACTTATTTCAGCATCCTTCCCAAAGGCTAATAATAGTTGTAATCAGTTTCCTGAACTATTTTGATAGATAAGAATATATTGGTCTAAAAGTCAAGGTATGGCTAACAGGATCATATTGCTGAAATCATGTGGGTAGAACAGAAGTGTGTTGGTGCCACAATTTTAACATCTACTCAAGATAAAATTATAAAAATTGTTCTGTACAAAATACAATTTGTGCATTTCCTTCCAAACAACAAAGACAATTCACTGTTAGCAATAAACTCAAATGTTTACAAGCCCAAGTAAAGATAAAACCATTCTGAAATTTGGAAAAATAGTATTAGACTGTGGGAATGTATACCATGCACAGACTTGCAGACTAGCGCTAAGTTCCAACTCTGACATAGGTCCTGTTGTGTGGCCTTCCTATTACAAACTTTACTTAACAGTTTCTGGCTAACTTAACATATGCTGAACTTTAACCTTTCACCAATATTGAGCTCAACAAGTCTACCAACTACAGCGGGAAATCCATTCACCATCCACCATCCACCAAGGACCAAGTTCTTGTCAATGACTGCTGTATCTGCTAGGCACCTTGCTTCCTACATTCACCAGTGTCAGGGAAATACAATTTATGGCCTGATTGGTTTTGCCTAACTTTATTGTAAAGTGAGAACAGTCTTTGTTATGTTAATTCTACCATTCCACGAATTCATTGACCACCAGGACCACTGCAAACTTATCATTTAGTGGTCCTGATGAATTTTTACTAGCTAGGGACCACAGGACCAGCGTAAATTTCGCACAGTGCAACGTGATTAATTAACAAAAAAAAAGTCACAATTTTATTTTCTATCTTCACATGGCTCAAATATTTGATCCATGTGGCTGAAGATGGCTTCAGACAAGGACTAACATATACAGTGCTTGGTTTGGACATTTGACTTGCCGTTGCCTTTGCCATGTCCTATTCAAGTGATGTAGCACTATGGGACAGTGAAGAAAATTATGGAACATTTGGCCTTCCATAATATTGTCTCCAGAAGAAACCAATGTAATACAGCTCACACAAAATGTAGAGACCCACATGATAACAGACTTCTGAAGAATTGTTCATCAAATGGACCATGGTCCAAGCCTAGCTTACGTCTAGCAACAAATACTGGACATAAAACTGGAAGAGATTTTTTGTAAGATATCATGACCGAAGCATTCTTGAATGTCATGTAACAGTACTAACACTTCATTGCTTCAAACCAACATGCTAGAAACAACAATCTATCAGTCACAAGCAGCTGATTATCAGGACTGATCAACAACAAGCACCTGCTGTTGGGAAATTTAAGATTGATCATTGATTGATTAATGATCAATCATGGATGAGAAATGAAACAACATCAATCCTAATGAGTGTTTTGAAAATAAACAAAGGCCTGGAATTGTTACAGAAACTTGCACCAAGTGCACAAAGGTAAGCTGCAAGATTAATGGATGTTAACAGACATGTGAATATCGTATCTCAATAATACACATAACATTCATAAAATCAATCATCACAAACCTCTTCATACAATGTAAGTGCTAGTAACCGAGTAAGGCAAGTTTGCAAGTTTAATACAACTAACGTGAGGAAACAATCTGAGCACTTTTAGTGAGAAGTTCCAAAGTCCCGAATATGAATTTTGGACTTCTAAATGACTGAATTACATATGTTTACCTTTGTATCATTTGACTTGTTTTAACATTATTGCATCAGGATAGAATCATGATCCAGCTTAGAATTTGTCTTCAGCTACCCATGCTTGTAGTAAGACTAAGAGGCACCTAATGAGCTCGGTTGGTCAGGCTCGCTGACTTGGTTGACCACATGTCATTGTATCCCGATTGCGTAGATCGATGCTCAATCACTGGATTGTCTGGTCCAGACTCGCCACACACAGTCACATACAGTTAACAACTTGCCACATACAGTCACATACAGTTAACAATTTGCCACATACAGTATAACAACTTGCCACATAGTCACGTACAGTATAACAACTTGCCACATACAGTCACATACAGTATAACAACTTGTCACATACAGGATAACAACTTGCCACCATAGTCACATACAGTTAACAACTTGCCACATACAGTCACATACAGTATAACTTGCCACATACAGTATAACAACTTGCCACATACAGTCACATACAGTATAACAACTTGCCACATACAATCACATACAGTAAACCAATGGGAACATTGAGCAGTAGTTAAACTCCATTTCTGGCCTTTTTTCTCCATTGGGTAATACAGTCCTTCCTGTTATTCCTCATTACTTAAAGATATCCCCACATTGTATGCTGCAACCAATGAGAATAGAATGCTGCTCTTACCACAGGCAAATCATAATCTGACCAAATGGGCTGTGTTGCCAATCAGATTTGGTTACATAAACATCTAATAAAGATAATCAGCTATTGTTTAACGTTCATAAACACTCCAGGTATTGTCATAATACTCTTTTTGATGACTGATATCATTAGTGGCTCAAAAATCTTAATTCAGAAATTTACTTAAATATTCATACCTCTTTAATTCCACTCTGTGGAGATCCTGGCCCCCAACAGATTCTCAATACTGCATGCTTGTGAAGGGAGTCAAATAAACTGGTCATCAATATGGATAATGATGATGATGGATGGTAATCTGTCACAACTGTTTACAGTGTGTGAGAGCTAAAACTTGCGCCCCAGATACATAACATGTACAGCTATCATTTGCTGACTGTAGAGCAATCCAGCATTTAGCTGATTATGTGTTCACAAGAAATGGTCAGCAAACCAGCATATGAAGTAAACATGGATAACAAGCAGCAACTTCTTTTCATTCTTATCAACAGTGTTTGAAATTAGGATGGATGAAGAGGTCGATGAAGTTTACACCCAAGCAAAAGATCACAAGGTACAGTTTCCTTGCGATTAGAATCATAGGACCTCAAAATCTCAACTTATCAACATCAGAGCTGTGAAAAGGACCCTTAATTTCTGTGCTTGATTTTGCAGATACAACTGTGCATAGTCATATCCCTACGGTTGACTAATAAATTGATATTATGCCAAATAAACTGGCCCAGATTTATCATATACAATAGCTGAAAAATCATTTGGATATATTATTGTACACCAAGCTGAACATACACCTTTGTACATGGGTTATGATAATCTTTCATTCAAATGGAACCATTTGTGAGGATAGACACAACAGATACTTGGAAACATCCCCTCCATTTTGTGAGTCACAAAGACACTATAGGACAGAACCTGGCTATTGATAAGGTTCATCTGGGTAAAGTGCCTCTCAAGTGCCCCTAGACAGAGCAGTGTGTCAACATCATTACAACACTGCACCATGCGTGCAGACACTTGTGTCTATAACACACAGTTTAAAGGCCATGAATGATATTCACAGAAGTAATTCTATGACAATATCACAGATCCGAACATCCTCATGATGTATGTATATTTACATAGTCCAAACAAACTTGAAATAATACACAACAGCATGTACCAACACATGGATTCAAATAGTGCATAATATATAGCTATGATTTCTGGTTTGACAGTCAATTATTACCTGAATCAAGACTTACTGATCTGAAAACACAACCGAGGTGATTGCATGATCTTGTCGTTAACACTCAGTGGTGACAATCAAATAATGACTCCCTCGCTCGTGCACCAGCTGCCTCCAGGTTAAAACAGGATTGTATTATTCACATCTTTCACAGTTTTCGTTATTCTCCTGTATTACCATGTTGTATTTAGTTTCCTTAGATTAATCTTTAACTTCAGATCTGATCTAAAACTTCACTCTAAAATGCATGGACCAACCAAGTTATTTAAACAGTTCTAATGTCTCCATATCAACCTTCTCAATGAAGTTGATCAAGAGTACGGAAAGTCTGTGAAATACTCCAACCATATGACACCTTCCCAGCCCAGTGAGTGCTGTAATATGACACCTATGCATGATGATCTGTGCTGGGAGCCACTGAGCAGCCTTATGTTGAGTTGGCCTGACAATGCCAGTATGTGATAGAGAGCTGTGTCTGTATCTAATGATCAGTGTGATTCATGATGGTAGGACAGGCCTACGGAAGCTACTGCTGCTACTCCTGTGTGTGGCCATCTTCTCAAGGTAATCAATACACGGCGGTGGCCGAGGCCGACAACGACGTGCAGTACATGCATCACACTACTGGTACAGGAGTATACAGACACTTCCCCCACTCAACTCATCAGCTCTACTCCTTCACATGCACTTTCCTTTCAGAAAACACATGATTCACCTGCTTTTCAGCTTACATTATAAACATTCTGAATAAGATATTGTTAGTAAATAATTTCCTGATGTTACACATATCTGGTTTCAGTTCCAAACAGACCATTCTGCACAAGTGTTATGTTTCTTAAAACAGTTCACCTCAAGGCAAGATGTACGAGTTGTATTCTTAAAACAAGATTAAGATGATCTTTTTTCCCTCACACCTATTCAGAAAAAAAAGTAAAATTTCCTCACTTTTATGTAAATAAACCAATGAAAGTTAACATACAGAGAATCAAAAATTGACACACAACTTTCATAATTTACTTGAGCTTTGTACCTGACCCAGTGATTCTCACTTGTCCCTAGGCCCTGCTCATTGAAATCTGGAGAATATTGTGATTTCTTCTCATAGAAACCAGGAGACCTCCAGTGTCAGACAGGATCAGAAACATGTTCATCTACAAACTTGAAGTTAATCATTCGAGTGTTAGCCACTCTGACACAGCACCCTGATAAATCAAACAAGTTTTATTATTAACTCTTTCAACACAAGATT